CCGGGTGTGGGGCACGGCACGAGGACATGGCCTCGTAGCTGTCGTTTGCTTGCCATTTCATGGTTCGCAAGGGCAGTTGGAGGGAATGGGTGCAGCATTGAGCTCCTCGCAAACCGGGGAGTTCAGTGTTGCTTGTTCTGGATGTGGGTGCTATCCTGTTCGTGGGTGAGCAACCATGTCTACTCTACATGTCAAGGCGTTTGAGGCCAACCCACTTGGCTCCAAAGTGGATGACAGTGAGACGATGGGCTACTTGTGCTCGCTGGGCGCCTTTTGCTTGGTCAGCCAGTGCCTGACTGAAGCATCTCGTGTTTGCTTGGAGGGGAGGCCACCTCAAGGATCAAAGCGCTTGAGCAGAGTGCCAAAACAGACTGAAGCTTACTAAACCGTTACCCGGTTGGAGGGGTCTCATTGTACCAACACACCCACATGCAAGCAAGCATCAACCAGACTTGCATGTGAGTTGGTGTGTTCTCACGCCAATGTTTGGCAGCGTCTTGAGTCGGTTTTCAAGCCTTGGAGGACTGTTTTTCAAGCAGGATGTTTGAACTTGGAACATCCTCCAAAGGCTCTTTGCGGTGACGAGGAACTTCCTTGTGACGAGACGAAGCGAAAGGTGTTCCAGGGTTTCTTCGATAGAGTCAATTTTTTCTTTACTCAGTTGGTTGAGGGCATTTCGGCTGATGCCTGAAACCAAGGGTGGCACCCGTTTGTCTTGTTTGCGGTCTGTGCCAGAGCTTTGAAGCACCTTCGACAAAAATCATTTGCAAGGGCAATATATCAAGCACCCCTTTTTCTTGACAAGCTTCAAGGCATACCCCAAATCTATGCAGTTGTGTAGATAGATGTTCGGCCTTTTCATCCAGGACACGTCTGCTTGTCAAGGGAGACCTGTGTCGCGTCGTATTTTCGATGCACCTCCCAGAGTGAGGTGGCACCTCCCGGAATCTTTTTCTTGAAAAACACACGATAAGCTACGAACGTAAAAAGGGCATCGCTACAATGTCACAAGGGCACTACAATTAGCTAAAAGCATCTAGAAATATCTAGAAGCTATATACTAGTAGCTATTTGCTAGTAGTAACAATGCCCTTGTTACTAGTAGCGATGCACCTGTGACGTTCGTAGCTAGAAGCTGTCTGAGGTCGCCGTGCCTTTGAGGAGCTCCGCCTCTGGCGCCGGGCGAGTGGCGCGGCCAGCCGTATCTCCACGCCCGCGGCGGTGCTCTGGCGCCCCTGGGCAGATCCGGAGGCGACCGAGACACACGCTCATCCAATATGTGTATACCAGGACCAAGGGGAGTCTGCCCCTTAGCTGTGATTCGGGGTGTCCATTAACCACCCTTTGGGGTCCTATTCTCTCTATATGCACATACATTTTTTGTGAACAATACAGTAAACAATATATGCATATGTATTCAGACTAACATGGGAGTGGAGTTCATCCTCTGTTTGTAAAGGAACGTCGGTCAACGGAACATGCCATCCACATCCATGCGATCCGAAGGCCATGTTCGACCATGTCTTTCGCCTTGAAGTAGGCAATGTCCTGGAAACCGTGTCACCGTGTCAGGCCATGATCTAAGTGGGCAAGAAATGTCAAGGTCAACAGAAAGTCTAAAGATGGACCTTCTCAACATGTCCCGACATTCCTGCTGATAGATGCTGATCAGTATCACGGCCGGTCGGTCGTGGTGTGTGATCGGTGATCCTGCAAATCTTTGGGGATATCATTTTCCATTGTGCCCCCCCTTCTTGGGCTACCACCGGCCTTGAGTCCTGTGGATCCCACCCCAAGGACCCAAGGATGATGGGACCGAGAATTGACCCCAAACCTGATGGTCAGTGGTCTTTCGCTTCTTCCAGGTTCCACCCTTTCGCCCAGTGCGGCCAAGGTCACTACGGAGAGGTCCAGGTGCGATGCGAGGGTAGGGAGCAGGTTCGTGTCTTGGGTCGTGGAGGTGTCGTGGGCGTTGACCGGTGGCAATTTGAGGACCAGGTGACCAGGGTGAACTAAGAGACCTTGCATAGGGAGCAGGAAGAACCTCCGGTGGACCTGGACCACCAGGTCCTTTGAACCCACTTCCAGACCTTGAGAAGACTTCGCGGAAATGGGTGAAGCAAGTCATAGCAAGTCCGATCACTTCATATGAGTGTGTATTGGCGTAAGAGGCCAACTGCATGTGTTCCACTATATAGGTCTTTTTGATCAGTTGGGCCGCTGAGGCAGTGTCCAACCGCTCGAGAGAAGTGGCCACCTCAGCCGCCTTTCCTCGTCGATTTCAGGTTCCGTGGGTTTGGCTGGGTGTCTTTCACCGTGTCTTCAACGGAGCTTTTTGCCGTGCGCTCCTCAAGCCATTTGGGAAGGACAACATCCACTCCTCAAAGCATTTTGGGGCTTCGAACACATCTTCACACCAAAGAAATGCTGGGGCATTGCATTCATGCTTTGGACCGACCAGTCTCACCGTGGGACCGAGACCTGTCCGATTTTTTTCATCGAAATACGGCCTGTAGAAGGCGACCGGAGCTGCTTTTCTCGGGTTTCTTTCTTCTTTGCGATACAGCAGTTCTGCGTTTGCGTTATATACCGGTTGACTATGTTACTATAGAATGGAAAACCGTAGCCCAAGTAGATAAGTAATTCGTATTTAATTCCCGTAACATTCTAGTTGTAGTGCTCTGTGTGATGCAGACGCCTCAAGCAGCATGACACAAAGAAAGCAACCAGAATATCCAGGGGTTGTTCATTTTAGGTCTCGGCCCCACAAGCAAGCATGGGGATCTTATTTAAGGCCAGCACACGTCGATTATTTCAGAGTCAGACATGTGCTCATCCCACATTACTTGTGCCACGGCCAGAGCCAAAATCTTTGCATCGCCAGTTAAAAATGTTTATATACAAGGAGAATTTATACTCCCTTACCCAGCATGAATGTATACAGCAACACATGTATTCCATATGTATAGCACACACACACATCATTTCAAGACACTTTCCAGACAGGTCTCCCACTGGCGCGCTCGTGCCGAGATCCCGACTCCGGGGCTGAGCTCGCGACACTTAGATGAGAGGCGACGGAGTGAACGACGGGTCGAGCTCTGCACGGCCGGCGGACTTGCGTCGTGAGGCGGACTTGGCCATTTAACACAGACCAGTTGCAATCCAGATCTACCGCTTGTGTCGCCTTTGATCCACTAGTCCCAGAGTTCTCAGAGAAGTGCCTGGATAGGACTGGATCACCAAGGCTGTTTGTTGATCAGTCAGCACCACGGCGTCGAGGTCAATACACCAAGGTGTGGAGAGCAATACAAGGGTTTGCCCAATGGTATCAGCACCTCCCGCATCAAACCGCTAGAGTCACTAAACTACTCTCACCACTCTACATACTACTGGTACTGGATCTACAGACTCGACATTCACGTTGAAGGTACTGGCGCACCATTCCATATAATGTTAGTTTTTCAATCTTTTTCCATACTCTTCTTTGTCTCGTCTATTGTGTTCTCTCTCTCTCTCTCTCTTGAGTCAGCACCATTTAGATATGCGATAGTCGGTGCCAAGACCAATCGGAGCATGTTGGGTGGATGTCCATGGGGTGAGCTACGGGGAAACAGAGTGACACCACCCACACTCAGATGGCTGGGTTTGTCAACCTTGGCAAGAATGCATCGGCCAACTTTGTTGAGCTTAACGTCACTTTCTTTAAACATACTGTTGACTGTTGAATCAAGCCGCCCCACGCCTGGAGGTCTGGTTTCCCAAAAAAGATCCGTCGGTTTTTCTCGAAGCCCGTGGATCACCACCTTCCCTTCTTTTGGGGTTCTTGGGCTCAGTCTATGCTTGTTCTGCTCAGTCTATGCTTGTTCTGTTCTTCGCTCTGCGCGAGTCGAGTCGAGTCGAACCGTCACGAATCGGTCTGCCTTTGTGGAGCCCACCGGACCCCAGAAGGATCCACTCCTCCCCGGAGGCTGGCGGAAGCACCGCCGCGGGGCGCCCGGCAGGAACGGGACGACCGGTTGGGCCATGCCTGACGGGACGAGGTGTGGTGAGCCGAGAAAGGTGGGCACCGAACTGGGCGAACGTCTGGCTCCGGTCGGCCAGATTCTCGCTCGTTTTCGGCAAGCGGTCGACGTTTGGTCGCAAGCAGAAGGAACCTTTCGAGAATTGAGAGTTTCATGGAGACCTTTTCGTGAACACCAGTTTGGAGACCTCAATGTTGAAGAGCCAAACGCACGTTTTCCACACATCTTCGCTGGAACTTAGATGGATTGCGGTTACGGCCTGATTTTTGGGTTGAGAAGACTAGGACTCCCCTGTGTTTAGGAATTTCCTGAGGAGCTGGGCGATTCCGGTCTGATGCTTCTTTCTCCCCCATGGGCGATTCCAGAGGAAGAGTTAGGACGCCCTTTTCTTCCCCGGTGTCCTCAATAGCCAAATCGATGTTCCCATGTTGTTTCATCGGATCCTCCTTCCCCCGGAACCGGCCTCCTCCACGGAACCTGCACCAAAGACCGGCAGAAGGCTAACCGAGTCGCCGGTGTTGCCCAGGCCATTGTTGCCGGTGTCAGACGGCGGGTCCGTGACCAGCGAGGCGTGTGAAGGTGATGGGGTTGAACGAGCCAGGCAGTCACCATATGACAATCTATGTGAAATTTCTTAGAACCTTGGTTAAGACCTCCCCATTTGGATTGTAAAACTATTTAATACCGGGGTTGAAATCGAATCAAGAGTCTACATTGCAAGTTTCTGGGCAAAACATTGAGGGTCGAGCTGGTGGTGGGAGTCTCCCATTTTTGGGTTTTGGCAGTCCAGCGGTTTTCGTTGCCGTGTGCCTTTTTGCCAACAGGATTGTCAGTAGTAGCTATGGGGCAAAACATGACTGGGTGAACACTTTCCGACATCGAGACCATGTGTTCTGCTCAGGATGGGACTTGATGGCTATTTCTTTTTAACGGGCAATTCTGAAAGAGAGATTAACACGTTTCATAGATTGGGATGGACACGCACTCACCACGTCTATGGGAATCCAATGAACAATTCCAAACTCCCCAAATATAAGTGAAAATACATCATGTCATTTTTCTATTATACTCTGCATTACTATACTATATATACACACATTCATCCACATATTTATATATAATTTTATATAGAATCTCTATATATATATAGTTATTCTTATTCTGCCGTCTGCCAGTGTACCATGTCTCGCTGCACTTGAGAGGCTCCGGACATGGGTAGCACCACTCCACGTCTGGCGCGGGCGTCACCGGTGTCCCGGTGACTGAAGCGCCCGGAGAGATGCAATCTTGTATCCAGTGGTTTCAGATGGCACAAGTTACCCCCAAGTTTTTGGTGGTTTATAAGGAGCCCCGTTTTTTCAGAGACATCGGTTGGGGTGTCAGTGCCATCTACTCTGAATCCACTGTAAGCCTGAATAAGCAGGCCCATCTACTCTCGCCCTGGCTGGGTAGACTGGTCGAACTCTTCCGAACCATCTCCCTGTACCCATGACGGGTGTGTTCATGAGACATCCACCAAAACACAGGGCGCTCTTTGCGAACGAGAACGAGAATGGAACACGGGCACCGGGCAGTTCACGGTGATGACCCAAAAAAGTGATGCAGCACTCTGGCGCCTGGATGGATTTACGGGTCGATGTTCGACGCACTCGACTCGAAAAGAATCACGACCATCTCGACCTTGGCAACGGTTTGGGCGTTGAACGGAGCCGTTTTGGCTGAGGGTCGAAGCGTAAACGGCGTAAACCGCCGGAACCAGCATGCTTCGCTCAGGCAGCAGTGGCTCCACCAAGCCTGCAGCCCAAAATGGCCAATGCGTCTGAGGAGCTGGAGCTGTCTAAGGGAAGATGGGGCCAAGAAGGTCTTGAAAAAGATGCTGTACAATGCTGTACATATATAACATGTCGGTCCGTTCTGAAGGTTTTGTTTTCTACCTTTTGGTGGACTTCACTGACTGAACTTCTGATGGTGATCATGCACTTACCTCGTAGACCATGGAAAACGCAACTCGAGTTGCTTTGTCTTTGCCCCTAACGTCATCCTTGGAGTCGCTCAACTGCTTGGCAGAGTGCGACTGAAACTGGAGACTTCCATGAAATGACCCATCTCGGTGGACCGAAATCTCGTTGTGTTCGTCGCTCAACTGGGCGACAGAAATGGGATCGAGCTGGTAGAGACGACGCCTGGGAACTTCTCGGAGCCTAAGGACCCTCAGAGGTTGGTTCGTTGTATTTTTACAGGCCATCAGAGTAGATGGCACTGGCACCCCTACATGTCTTTTAGAATGGGGGTCCATATAAACCACCAAGCTTGGGGATTGTGCCATCTACTCTGAAACCACTGTAGTACTTTTGTTTAAATCAGGAGACCTCACAGTTCTACTCCCTGAAAGAAGGTCCAGTACACGTGTCAGTTTGAAGGACCCGTGGTTTCAAATCCAGAGATTGAATGAAGCAAAAAAAGGTCAGAACGGTCTCTTGAGTTTAATCCAGGTCTTCCTCCCTCGTCTCCCGTGTCAGTCACCTTAGCGGTGCAACCGTGTTAGTCACCGCTGTGCAACCCGCTGTGCGACCTGCGCAACTGCAGGGGTCATTGGACCTTGATTCAAGGCCAATCCGGTCGACCGTTTCAGGGTTCACCAGTCGCCTCATGCATGTGGACAAGAGGGGGACCCCCTGCACCAGTGGGTTTGGGCTGGATAGTTTCTTCCAGAGGGTCGAAAAAGGGAGGCCTCGCCATTTTAAATGCGCCCCCCCGCCCCGGTCAAAATGGCTTTCCCTGAAGAAGCCATGAGGTGGACGGTCAGGTCAAAAACATTCCGCAGAATTCAGATGCTGTTTTGCCGGACCCCCCAACTGCAGTGGAGGAGATATGTGGAGACAATCCTTGAGTAATTAGATGAACACATGGGGCATTTTAGGCATCGAATGCTTACATATGCCTTATTTGCAATCTTGGTTTTGGACTGTTTAATCCATTTGTGATCCATACATTTTACCAGGATGAGAATGCCAAAGTCTTTGTCATACAGCAAAGATTGACGAACCACTCAGTATTGTTCTATCAAAACCTATGCTGAGCAACCAACGAGGGCTTGCCCATGTTCCTAAGTGGACGGTGCATCGTTTGGAAACATTAGTTGCTGAGCATCTATCCAAAAAAGTTGGAACTCCACCTCGACCACCCTGAGAATCATTCCAAACATCCTAAAACATTGCCTCTTCAGAAAGAACACCTTTTTGAGGAGCACCAAGACTTCTGGGGGCGAGACCGGCACTTGCTTGGGTCAGCGACCTAGAAGGCCTCTCTTCGAAACGTGATGTTGCCGCTCCAAGTGACATCGCCATGAAGCCTTCCCCGGGCCTTCTGCGACCCACGCCGCGCCTGCCGTTGAAGCGACATTTGCAGCGGTTATGCAGGTTGTGGCGGACTTCCTTCGGCAGTCGGAAGCGTTTTTCGTTCTTTCGGTTTGAGTCCAAAACGGTCCTTTCGCCTGGCCCACTGAACGGTCGTCGTCTTCGTCGTCTTCACGACACCAGGTAGGTCAACGGCTCCCTCCGTCTCCCCTGGTTTCCTCGCTACGGGCAGCTCCAGGTGGGGCGACCTGATCGAGCGAGTCAGGCGAGGTCAGTCGGGTGAGCTGATCGGCGAGGTTTTGTTCGGGAGCAGTCGACCCAGGCTGGGGAGAAGCGACGAACGGACCCATCCGAAGCTAAGGCTTCGTCACAGAGGAGGAGTGGACTGGTCTTTTTTGTTTCAATGATTTTCAATGTCTGACTTAAACTCAAACTAGTTGGCCAGGGAACGCTGATGTTTTTTTGTTTGCGATGGATGCAGATGCGAACGTGAGATGTTCGAATCTGAAGTGTTGAGGGAGTTGGCCATCACTAGGGTGATTGTTGGGGACCAATGCATAGGGGAATCCGAACTGGCGCTGCCAAGAGTGTAAGAGAGTGAGTCTGTGTGTATGTGGGTGTGTATAGAGTGTCAGTAAATGGGACTTTTCATGACTTTTCTCAGTTGAATCATCCTAAAAAAGCAAACCAGATGAAGATTCTCATGCTACCTTCTGACTTCCGCACCTGTTGAACCACTCTCGAGTGTGACCCCAAAGGCCAACGACTATAACTCATTGGGACGGCCTCGGCCTCGCGACGGGCCTCCCCATTCTTTCAACCAATCCATTCTTTCGCCAAACTGAAGGACCTTCTTGACTTGCTATGCTGAACGCTATGCTGAAGACCCCTATGCCCCTGGCAGGGGCATCCAGGCCACCACGCGGTGAAGTCTTGTTCCCCTCCCTGGCTCCAGCGACAGCGTCGCCAAGAGACGCGGCTCAGGCCCACGGCACCAGCCGCAGGTTCGAAATACCGAGGGTCGTAGCGTCGCTTGCTGTTGGTGAGGTGACCAAAACAAAGGACTGTTTGTAGAAAAACACAACACCACTGTTAGGTGAGGTCCCTAACTGAATGCTTCCAGACATCTGCTAGCTACAGTAACTGGTGCTGAAAACATTCCTTCCAGACTGTCGCAAAGTCTAGCATGCAGAAAACCTGCTGTTTGGTCGTCGAATGTCGACTTCTGCCGAGATGCACCGAGCCTGCACTATCCATGCGCCCGGTCTCCCCGCCCTTCGCCCTTCGCCCTTCTCGCCAGGGAAATCGATGACCACGGTCTCACCGCCCCTGTCGGCGCGCTCGTTTCCCCTTTCCGCCAGATCCCTCGGGCAGGAGATCCGGTCTCGTCGCCGCCTGCGTCGGCGTCGGCGCGCCGGGTGGGGGTGATGGTGAGGAATTCAGGGCGACAGGATCGATGACATGGACGACATGGCTTGTGTGGGGGGGTCCACTTGCCAAAGATGTGGTGATGAGGAGTTGGTGTAATTAGCTGGTTCTTGAGCCATACCGAACTTTTCGGGTACTTGGTACCAAGCTTCTCAGGTAGATTTCAGACTAAGAAGTTTTATCCTGCGTTTCTTTCCAACCCGAGCAGACCGTTGCCTTTGGATGCGGCAGAATGCGGCCGACCTTTGCTTGAAAATCATGGAACAACACAGATGTGCCATGGCTTGAACACAAGGTTGAAGTGGCTTAAAGTGGATGGTTTGGGTTTGTCCATGTTTGTCCTATTATATACCTATAACAAACAGTAAACAAGCAAACAAGCAAATCACATCCAATCACTATTTTTTGAGCAAGGCCTGCAACTTAATCATTATCCTCACATGGCAATAGGATAGACCCAAGGACCCAAGGAATGGTCATCCAGTTTTAACAGGGACCTTATATCCTCACGGAGTCGAATAAAAGTCCTAGATGAGCCAGCAATCAAGGTAACAGGGTCATTCGGCAGGACAACAGTAGAGCTGATAACCAGCGAGCGGCCGCGCGAGCATCCCCTCAGGAGCGCGCCATCCATTTGCAAAGCCTCTGGGCCAATCAAAGGCGGATGGGATTGACATGGAGATCCCAAGTGGCCACCTTCAGAACTGCCCGGTGGAATGGTCCAACTAGAAGTCACAGTCTAATAAGGGCAAGTATAGGGGAAGGATAGGTATATTTAGCACATTTTAATGCGGTTGATTGATTGATGGATGGATGGATTGATGGATTGCTTGGTTGAGTGATTGAACGAGGGGGTGCGTGGGTGGGTGGGTGAGTGAGCGGCTGAATGACAAACTCATGGGGTGGGACAACTTTGTGGATGACTTGACTGGACTGCCTGACTGATTGAGTAGCAGTGACTGCCATGAAGCGCACCCATTGAGCAGCACTTGCACCAGGTAGCATTTGCCCTTTGGATTCGAAGTAAAGCACCAAAGCACCTTGCAGGCAGAAGCTTCTCGCGGGCACCTGAAGCAAAAAATTGTGTGCTTTTCCGCGACTGCCGGCTGAGGTTGTGGTTTGAGAGGGGAATTGTCCATCCTGGGTCATTTCAAGAATGCTAGAACAACATTTTGCTTCCAAGGCACTGAATTGTAGTTCCCACTCAAAAGAGAAGGACCGCCTCGCGAGCGTTTGACTGGGATTTAACAGGTTTTAGGCCAGTCTCGCTTTGAGAGGGGTTTGGCCTATGTTCTTCGTCATCTTCCAGGTCACCTTCTTGGAGCTCCAAAAATGATTCAATGAACGTCGAGAGATTGTCGTTTGCCCCGCGGCCCTGCAGAGTTATTGGTCCAAAATGAGATGGCCAGACCAACAACACTCATACCCCAGACCAGCCAGCAGATAGCTTTGAAGACTGAGGAACCAACAGGTTAGTTTCACTTTCTGACATCGACATGTTATAACGCGACACAGTTCTTGATAGGAGATGCAGGGAATGTATGGCAATGTGTTTGAAGCTCAAATCAGCAGGCATAGACATAAACATACAAAAGACATCAAAAGACATCTATGCAAGCACACTGCCACACTGCGGCCACACTGCGCCCACACTGCAGCTCTTCAACCTGCTTGGGCCCGAGCTCGGACCCTCCCGTCCCGTTCCCCCCTAAGAGCTCGGACTGCGACCCGCGGCCGCACCCACCCGCGGTGGACCCCTTCACTTCCTTCGCTCCCTTCGCTTCGTCCAGTGCGGTTCCCATGGGCCGGTCCAGACCGGGGGAAGTGGGCGATGTGGAAGCCGCTGGAGTCGAGGTGCGGAGTCGACTCGAGTCGTCGTTCGTGGACCTCGCCCGGGCGAGGGCGAGAAGACTCCACTCCACTCCCCGAAGACAGGCCGAACACTGGGGCGAGTCTGGCCGAACACATGGCCTCACCTGGCTCAAACGTTCGAACCGGTTCCTGAAAACCCCTCTCTCAGCACTTGACACGTCTTCACGTCTTCGGGGAAGACCATCACCTACGACCTCCGCCCACCTAAGAAAGCTCAACTCCATCGCCAGGAGCCCAAGTCGCCCCGCTCAGTGAGCTCGGTGAGTTTGAGCTCCGAGACGGAACGCAGCTCCACAGCGGCTTGGAAGGTGAAACAGACGTCCGGGACTAGACGATGGTTGTTCAAGGATTTTTGCGTCTGGTGACCGTCAGACTGGACATATGGACTGGATCATATTTTGACCCATTACAGATAGGAGAACATGATGTAGATGACGTTGTAGCTTGTAGAAGTAGAAGCAAAGGCCAGAAACCTACTCTGGCACTAGTACTATATAGTTATATACTAGTACGTGTGCTAGGCTATATGTTGAAAGTTGAAACCAATTTTCTTTCCAGCTTAGGGAAGCCTGGTTCTGAAGCTACTGGCTCTGGATTGAAGTAAAACCGATTCATGCTATCATGCTGCTTACTTATCCCCGCAAAGCAATGTCTTCTACAAAAGGCAGTCTTTGTTTTGAAGTCAGTATCGGTTACGAACAATGATGGTGGTGACGTTGTAGTTTATGGTGTTGGATGCTTGTTGGACAAACATGATGTCGGAGGTGACGTTGTAATTATGTGATGGTGTTGTAGTGTTGCTGGTTGTATATACTACTGTATATCTTCCGACAATGAGCCTTTCTGGGCTGAGTTTCAGAAGCTCTGGGTTCTGTCCATATTGGTTCTGACCTATGTTGTGATTGATGTTGCAGAAAAGGGGGTCCGTGCTGTGAATTTGGTGGACGGTTGGGGTATGTAAAGTTCAATGTTGAGAGTGATGCAAAGTTCTATGATGTAGACTGTGAGGATATGTGTCTTGTTTCCAAACCAAGCTTGAAGATATGCCTGAAACTCCGACCCTATCACAACTGCACATCTGCACCATTTGAACTCCCCGGTCAAAAGCTTCAGATTCAGGATTCATAGGTTATTTGACACAGCCTTGCAGTGGACTCCTAGGCAAACAGCTGCTAGTGAATACAATCCTTTTCCATGTGGTTGTCTTCTTTCGCGCCACCTGTTTGCCATCTGAATTTGGATTTGAGGAATCCTTCTCTGGAAGATCCTTCCTTTTCTTTTCTTTATTCGGCTTTCCCCGGAGTCTCCCTTGCCAAGTTTTGATATGTTTTGATAGCAACCGTTGCATCAGTTATTATAGTTTAGTTATATATTGTATAAAATATTGTTTACTTATTCCAGGTTCATTGATTCCAAAGATAGACACCATTTGACACTGTTTCGTGGTATGGGCCATCATGGTCCAGAAACTGTTTCAATCCGTGTAATTGCACCCCATATGTTCGCTTCTATATGAATTCATTGTGAAAATACTTATAGTCAACAGCTTAAGATACAATGGAGTTCTGCTCTACTGCACGCGTTTGCCTTTCAAAACCATAGCTAGAAGTTAGCAGCTACAAGAAAATGAATCAACCAAGTATTGAAGTCAGTATATATAGCCTATTGTCCTATTGTCAATGACTACCTGAAAATCCATCAACAATAGATTAAAGAACCATTCACCATGAGTCAGTATGTGTTTGTTCCATTCACCATTGTAGTGACTCTTTTTTACTCCATGCTTATTGCCTGTCATTGTCCAAAGAACAATATTGATCACCACATAAATCACACGGAATCACACGCATAGTTACAGACTTTGAGTATGATTGTAACCACCACCAACAGCTTCAGAATCACACGTCCCTGACACCAACAGCCCAGAAAGACCATTAGAAATAGTTGGTGTGTTTTTACGTTATAGCTCAAGTAGTACAAGTTACAAGCTTATCCAACAAGCATTACTATCTCCAGCATCCAACATCGGCCCCACAATGAAACGAAACTGCGGCTGATCCATTCGCAGGAACTGCGGCTGTGACTTAAAGCAACGCAGTTTGCAACATAGAACTTTACATACTCTAAATGGTCCTCCAAAGTCACAAAGACATTTCACCCCCCCCATTTGATCACAACGTCAAGCGCAACATAGGTCAGAACCAGTACGGAGGGGACCAACACATATTTATCAAAAAGGGACTTGAGAGGGGCTGCAGGAATCTACAAAAATATAAAGTCACACGCTTACAGTCTGCAACATCATTCTTGCATATTCCAAATGGGACCCGAACTCACAACATAGACGTGTCCCAAGCCCTTTCCCACCAACATCCCTTTTCCACAACATCAATCACAACATAGTTCACAACCTATACGGTCAGTACCAACACAGATAGAGGCCGACGCCTGAAATAAGTCAATCTTGATCCAACCTAGCGTCTCCACTCTTACTTTAGACTTTCTGGAGACTCCACCGCCTTACCTTGGCCTCAACCACCAGCAGTTTTGTTTTGGGCACCGCGGTGAACACCGACACCTTGTTCTGCTGGGTCATCCCCAGGTGGAGGCCGTCCCTTCGGAAGATGGCGAGGCCATCGCGGAGCAGGTCAAGGCCGGGAAACCGACGTCCGGTGTGGACGTTGGACGTTGGTCAGTTGGCCTCTGGGAGTTTCCCCAGCAGTTTTGTTTCTTATTGAGTGGATGTGACCCCGACTAGACAACTGATGGTATGTTTAAGTTTCATGTTTTGATGTTGCAGTTGCAGTAATTTGTGACCGTTTCTTGGGGGTAAGTAAGTAAGGCTTCCTTTGTCCGGCACTTGGCCAACTTCAGGCTGGTGTAATGAGTATGGAGTCACCGGAATCCAACCTGTGGATGTTCATCTAACCTGTGGACATATGAAGTCACTGGAGTCGATGGACCAGTGGCTCATGTCCCGGTCCCCACGTCCCAACCGCAGACGCAGCCCGTGAAAACAGCCCGACGACGTTTCCTCAAAAACCTAGAGATTGGTTGGACCCCAGACCCCTCCAGAGGATTCGGGTCCAGACTTTGAATCCAGACTTGATAGATTTCATGCTTCCGTCATTCAAGCAACTCTTCCAGATCATGACCTCCGATTGGTTGAGGCTGCGAAACACACACACTCAGTCCGGGGAGATTCTTGGTTTGAAACACACCCGCAATCCTCCGACTGGTGACTCACCTGTCCAGCTTCCGTTTTGAAGACCTCTACTGCCTCTACTTCTTCTACTGTGCTGGTATATGTGTTACAGTAGAATCACTGCACCAGTCACCCGTGGGGGGAATTCGTTTAAGATTGTGGGGATTCTCCACCATGATTTTCCATGATTGTATGAGAAAGGGACTTGATGTCATGGAGACTCCCTCCAACTTTAAGATCTTCATTTCCTGCTTCTGAACAAAACTGGCAGATGAAGTCGATGCCTCCCAATCCCATCTGCCAGGCCGAGCGTTGGCAGTGCGACTTGTGCTTCGAGCCTTGGTTTACGCTGGCAGGGCCGTGGAATGCGGAGTCGGAGGTTCCGTGCAGTGGCCATGCCATGCCATGCATTTCCATGTTTAGAAGCTCGAGATGGGATGAATCTGCGTTTGGCTCAAGGTCTTAGAATACCCGCATCAATATGTCCCCATGCCCTAGAAGGAATTCTTTAAAGATCCCATAAGTGAATCCGAAGGATGTATACGGGTGCCTAGGGGTTTCTCTGTCCCTGCTCCGGAATTGATATGACTTCAGTGGGTTTCTCTGTCCCTGCTTGGCTCTCCACACGGTCCACTTTCCGGGCGGTCCACTCAGCGGACTCGGGCGGTGCCAGGAACCCTTTTTGAAGTTTGAGACCCCCTGGCAGCTGGGTGGTGAATGCCGCTTGGCTGGTGGTGCCTGGATTGTGGTTCGCAGTCGATCGATCTGGCAGCAATTGCGTTGGTCCTTTCGGATGGGAGGGTGTTGGGTGCCAGCACTGGTCCGACTAAGACTCGAACTGAGTCTTGCACGGGACATTGCCCCTAGACTCCATCTGTAGACCATGTGAGAGGGTCCAGATCAGCCAGCAAAACTGTTTGTATGTATTCTTATGTAGTAAAGCCCCGGCGACGCTGGTTTTTAGAGTAGATGGTCATATGTGGTCTCACTCTCCT